TTCCAGAAACTACACTTTTCTTTTCAGAACTGAGATTCTCACAGTAGCGAAAAGACGGCGGTTTTCTAGGTTGAGGCGTCAAATTTCTTAACTCTGAGCACATTTACCTCAACCACATGTAATGCTGTATGAGAAACTTCTTATTGCGTCCGCAAGAGATCTAAAACGGAACTCATTCCGTTTCATTCTTCATTTACTGACAACCCGCAGGGTGGACAATAGTTCAATATAACATTTCTCCACTTACTAAACAAGGTGTTTTGTTTGCATGACGTCAGGTAATGTTAATTCTAATATCAAAGTAATAAAAAGGGTGGGTCGGCATGATGGCAGCACCACACCTAACAAGCATGGCAGGTGGTTGCACGAACAAGCAGGAAATTTATACAAAAGGACATTTAAAATTGTGGAACATGAACTGATAAAGGTTCAGAATCCAGGACTTTACAATTTTATATAAAATCATAAAAATGTGTTTTTCAACTTTTTCGCTTTGTATCTGATATCTGTTACAACCAATATTTAGAACAGAACAACAGAAACAATTTGGTACATTATCCTGATCTAGACGTTTACGGTGTATTTGTATGAACCGATCATAACAGGAAAGGTTGTAATAAGAGTCCTGCATCCATGTTGTGTATCCTCAAGAGAGCTTACGAACAAGCATTTCACAGAACATTCATGGAGATGGAGTGTTATCACCAGTTGTTTATTTGTTTGCGCTTAGACGGCCATTATCACGTGCGTCAATTGGTGATGAGCTGCTGCTTGCTACCTCTCTCCAGTCGAGTGATGATTATAATCATACTGCTGAATTGCAGTGGTTTGTCGTATGTGACAAACATCTAAACCGAGATGACTGTTAATGTTATGTAATGACGAGAAAAAAGCACGTGGCAGTCAGTAAATATCGGAACAATGCTTTCAGCACCCTCCGCTGTTCCCATTGGGAAGGTTAATTCTTGCAGTAACGCGGGAGACTGTCGGTTCGTGTTTGAGTAGGGCACTAGTTTGCCTTCACTAAGGTTCATCGTGGTTTCGTCAGCAAGTCACGTCCTAATGATATCTTCAAATAAGCCGTGACGGCTTCCTCCCGAACCATTTCTGTTGAACACAGAGCCATCCCCGCTCCTCTTTAAATGCTCAGCAACTTCTGCAGTTCTGCATTTCAACCACAGGAACCATCCAGAATTGTGCTGAATTAAGCACATGAAGCCCATAGCATCATAATTGGTGCTAGGGAACGCTGTGCTAAGACGGTTTTAAGTTCCCCTAAAAACATCAAAAATAATATCACTTAGGGCAGTTGTTCCCCTGGTTACTACAAATAAGCTTCATAATACAAACTGCAGTCATTACCGCATAGATGTCTTGATCGGGTTTACGAAAATATGCATTTAGTTAAACTCAATACCTATTTCTGAATATAACAGCAATTTAAATGCTGGCAGGCCTGTGGAATTTTATCAAGATTATTCTATAAATTAGCAATATTTAGTGTAACGAGCGAGTCAAAACAATTTTGGTGGTTCGAGAAACGCTTCCTAAAAACATTGCAGCAGGCGCGTTGTTAGTATTTATATTCCATAGTTACTGGATTCAAAACTCCACTCCGACGCGTCGTCTGGAATAATTCCTATTCCCTTTACAGGTTATATTTTTTGTGCTATCAGCTTCATCCTCTTCTGGGTATTTACAGAAGTGGAAACAGGCTGAATGCAAGATGGTTAAAATGAAATCTTGTTGCAATCAATGACGTTAAAACTGGGCCGAGCCATAGTTCAGGCAGGTAGTTGCCGGCTTCTCGCTGCAAAAGCATGGGTTCACACCTATGTCAGTCCACGTGAGACCTGTGGTGAACAAAATGGCACTGAGGCAAACCTACAATCACTGGTAATTCAATGTGAATTCTTTATGATATAAGAATCCCAACAGAATTTTAATTTGTTACAGAGGAAATTAATCACTTTTTTTATGGAAACTGCCTTTCACATCAGAGGTCCTTGCTGCTTATCGGTAAACTTCTACCAGACTACACAGCACATCAATGCAGAAGACAGCCATCTTAAAAGTTTTACCTGTATATGCTACAGACATAGAATCATGATTTTAGCAGAAATGTTCTTTCTTTTAAAACTTCGTTCTTAGCGCTATTATGTTATTCCACTTGACACACTCTTTTATATTTTAAATCAAAACCTTTCAAGATAAAAAAAACCATCATTATGTATTAGAACAATTCATTTTGTTCTTTACGGAATCACAAGTTGTTTTAGAAATCATAAATTCCCAAACGTGGTAAAATTCAAGCAATGTTCTTACAACAGTACAATATTTAAAGAATATCAAAAAACCATTACTTACCTGCAACATTTTATCACCACTAATGCAACTGTGCTTTTATTCCTAAATATCTGTTAGGGTCTCTAGCAAGGTCGCTAAATTATTCAGTCCATAAACAGAAACTAGAAAAAAAAACATTATGAGATATCTTTGATTAATTATGATTGTATTTTAAATTTAAAACAGTTCATTTTTTTTGTACCATCGGGTCGGAGTCGACCCCCAATGACATTATGAACAGGATCCTTCCATCCTTTTCTCGGACTGGGACCTGCTCATATGCTTTCTAGGCAGATGATCCAGAAGTGGTTTGCCATTGCCTTCTTCTGTTTGCATGGAGTATGGATGCCACAGAGAAACCGGGGAAGCCCCCGTGATGCCTAGACCACAGCCTTGCCCGACACAAGTTATAAATCTGGGCACCACTGGGAATTGAGCCCGGGATCCCAGGATTACATGGCCAGCGTTCCGACTGCTAGACCACCGTGGCGGTTAAAATAGTTCATACAGGATGCAAGATAAAGAGGAACATGCATACAAAGGTTAAATAAGTATACCAAAACAGAATCGCAAATGAACGATGGCTACATTCACTGTCTTAACTCCGCCAAATCTGAACGTACATTTTGAAACTGGCAAATGACATCCTGACTGAAACAAAAATTGCATAATATTAAGAGATATAGACAGTAAACTGGTCAGCCTACTATGACCAAAGACCTAAGTAAAGGAAAGCGTGGATTAAGCACTGGATGGTAAATTTAATTCATAAACCACTGGACAGATTTGGTTAAAATTTGATATGGAGGTTGTGGTATTCTGCATATCTCAAGATTATACTTCTGAATACATTACAAGTAGTAATAAAAAATGACAGATGAGGAAACCAACGATGTGGATGCCGAGGTTCTGCAATTTTATGGTAAAAGTGGGAACTATTCAACAAGGCAGAATACCATTAAATGCATGGTTGCAAAGAACACATGAGCGTATTATGTCTATTCCGGTACAGAATACACTTTCTGAGCTTAAGAAGATGAAAGAGATCAGAATAAGATATTTACATCATGTTCAATTCATACAGAGGATGTTACATATACATTTCACACAAAATAATTTATCAAAACATCTCTCTTGTCATTAGTCCCTAATAGTTCTATATGCAAAAAATGTATTTTTAAATGCGTTCTATCCACAGACTTTTCCGTGCAAATCAAAAGATCCACAGATAAGAATCTATAAATGAAAGATAACTGACAGATGCGTAGGTAATGAGTTCAGCACGAAAAAAAATTGTCATAACAAAATGCTGAAAAATAAAATGTGTGAAACCCCAAGCAGAATCTGAATATGACACACAAAGGCTGGCATCCATAATGTCTCATTTTAATAAAACACTTGTAATAAACAAATGACAGTTCAGTATAAGGTAAGTTTGTTTCATGCTATACTTCACTGATTCACTTAAAGCTGTACATACACAAACCTTCACACATCAGACTCCATGTGCAACAAGAAGCTTCTTGTTTTCACATGGCTGCCTTACCTAGAACTTGTCCACAAGCTGTAAGATGTGTTGTTGTTCCATTTCCCTCCAGTCAGTGTCTCCTGCATCTCCCAGATTGCCTGCGTATTCTGTAAAATTTTACAACATTTCAGGAAACTTCTTGAATAAGCTGAAAGTGTCTTCATTTCAGGGTAATATAAACAAAACACAGATATAAGATTGGTATGAGAAAGAAAATTGCTAAATCCAGTGAATCCGAACAGGTAATAATTTATAATTTCTACCCAGCCTTTAACTTTGGTGATTTCATACACAAACACTAACAAATGAATAAACTTAATTATTTGTTTTTGAGCTCTTTTGGCAATTATCTTACAATGGGGAAAAAAAAGAGAGAGAGAGAGAGAGAGAGAGAGAGAGAGAGAGGGAGAGAGACAGAGAGAGCAATAGTCACACTTAAAAGAGGGAAGGTGCTACAATATTAATAAGAATTTCCAATGACAAGTCTATTAAAGCAGAGCTCCACTGTTGTGTATGAACACAATGAGAAATTACAAAATCTCTTTACAATTTACCACACTGAAAATAAAACACACATTTTTCTGCTGTGAAGAATGAGTAGAGACATCACTTAAAGTTCTGATTTTATTACCGCATTAACAAATAAAGATCTGACTGAATATTCATCACACTAATACATCCATCCATCCAGACAGACAGAATTTTTGAACGATTGATGCGATAAGACGACAGCTCAAGGAACGACAGAAGCAAGAAAATGTAACATTATTTTATATGGGACGTATCAGGGACCGAACAAAACAGACGATGCATCCGGGAAAACGATCGTTCGGGGAACTATGGATAGAGGTTTCGCTGTAAGTGCTCCTGTCTTTGTCCTTTGAATGTAAAAGAAATAATAAACCTTACCTCTCATAACATGTCGGATTGTTTTAAGTGAGCCGCCCCTCAGATTAAGAATCTGCGTAACACGTTGCTTTATGGTGGATGGTCCCCCAGTACAAACTTCAAGAAGAATGTAGTCCACTAACTGCAGTGTGAAGAGCCCTCCTTCCAGCCTGCGCAAATAGTTCCTCTCTTCTTCTGCATCCTCGTCTCCCTCATCAAGATCCTGCAAAACGACCAAAATAAAATCAAAACAATTATTTGAGTTTACATGTCCCTAAAACTGGCATCTTAGTATGTTTCCTCGGGAGATTAAAATATTCATTCACACAGACCATAAAAAATAAATTTATTTTTATATATAACAGCAAATGATCTCCATTAGTTTTACAAAATTAAATCACTTCCCCTAACAGCCATCAGCTGGTTATTTGTAATGCACCTATTAAGAGTTATGAACCTATAACCATGAACACAGTACTTCGTAAATCACACAGTAAAAGAACAGACTGTTAATAACACATCAAAAGACCATTTATTTTCCTACAAAACACCATGAAATAGAATACAATGTCTACAGAGAATATCACATTATAAAATAATAATTACAATGCTGCATGATGAAAGAATACTCAACGTTCCACATCATACAACACAAGCAGCCGACGACTGCACTGAAGATATATTTTAGATTCTTATTCAATATAAAGACAAGACTTACTCTACGATCATGGTCTATTTCAAGGTCAACCTCCTCCACTTTCTCAAGGTATTTAAAGTGTAATTCCAACAGACGATCTACTTTCTCGTGATCATTTTCCGTGAATTTGCTTAGGAGACGCTGGCGTTGTGGGCCACGACAGTTGCGCAACATACTGGCAATGATTGACACCACATGTTCTGTAGGAAAAATTACTGTTAGTCTGGAAAATTACACACCTATAGAGTTACACAATTCTGCAGTTTCAACTTGATATAGGGAAATGAAACTGCAAGAAATGAACAGATTATTTGGCCAATCAACAAATAAACATTATCATCATGGGAAAGATAATAACTAGCTCCCTTTCCCAATAATAAATATTTTATACACATCTGAAGCTAATATGTCAGAACTTCTTAATATAAGACCTCCTGTCCCCCTCCCCTCTCAACCACCGGTAAATTTTGAAAACTAATTATTTTGCTGCTTATCCACATAAAATTCTTACATGCAATTTTCATGCCCAAAAATAATTTTTTCTCCCACATTTTCTCAGTGACACATATTAGATCCACAAAATGTAATTCTGGTGGAATTTGTATTTCCAGTAATTGTTTTGTCTTTCTTCCATCACTGCACACTGGCACAGAAACAATGAGCATCCTAGAAGTTAAGAGATCATTAATATTTGAAAACTATTAGACTAAAACCGGCATCATACGTAGTTCATGACAATGAACATATTTTGCAGCACAAGGCACTTTTGTTTCCATGTGATCTTTCACGATCTGCAGCACATGCCATATTACAACTTTTCTTAAATTTTGCTCTAAAACACTTTTTTTATCATAACTTTTAAACTATATGAGACATAATAATGAAATTTCACTGAAATCCTTTTAAAAGATGGTTTTATAATCTTACCTTATAAGATGAGCACTCTGTGTGAGGAATGGAAGCAGGTGGATTAGAATTTCAAAGTTGGTTTTGTAATCTTATCTTATATGATGAACACTGTGTATGTTAGCAATGGAAGATGTTGAGTTTTGTATGTAGTTCTTGAAACGTCACCACACTACACTACACAAATAAAGAGATTCTATTCTTTTCTGGCGTTTCCTGCATAACACGCAATGAGGCCTGTGTCAGGAATAAGCGGGAGGAAATGTTGCAGCCTCACCCCACCATCTGACCCCGAACTGAAGGCCAAATATATGCATCATACATAACAGTTATAACCTGTCTCTTTCTAGGAAGGCTTCTTTCCATACCCTTGTAAATATAGGGGTGCTAAAATGTTGTTATTCTGCCACACCGAAACATGAAAACGGCATATATTATAGAAAAATTATGGGGTCCCTGACCGTTTCAGATACTTTTTTTCCCCTCTGTCCTTCACAGCATTAGGTAAGATTGTAAAATAAACCTTTTTGGGATAACAGGCACATTTCTTCCCTTCACAAACAATCACCACAATGAAGATTCCGTAAACTCTTAGGTCACGCATTCATACACGGACTTTGCCATCACAGATCCAAAAATGCGACGTTGCCACAACATGAACAGAAAGAGCATTTTTTCCACGACAAATCAACTACAAACATCATATATCAGTCGTTATTATTTCCATACTTATGGGCATTTGAAATTAGGCATACAGCCGCACGTCATTGAACGTGGTTCCGAAGACCTAAATTTAAATGCCAGCACGTCTGGAGACGACTTCCCTCAGCGAGGGGTTAAACAGATTAAGTGTGGAAAATATCAATTATATATAAATGTGTAACATTAGCACTAGTACCATATAAAAGGTCTGACACAAAAATAATTAATTTATTAATTAAATTAATTTCATATTTTTCATGTTTAATTTTATCAGCTAAGAATTTTGGTCTGGATGAATAATCTGAGAACAACATTTCAAAGTTCAAGGTACTTTTTTGTCTTTCACTACAGACATTGACAACTTAGTCTAAACATTGTCAGCTGTCAACATACCTTCATGTTCTTCTGTTGTTAAAATACGTCGACGATTCTTCTTTGGAGTTTTCATGAACAGTGGGAATATGGTGCGGAGGCCCAGAATATCTACAAATTTGTTACAATTCTCTTTTCCGTCTGGTCCAGACATAGCATGATCTAACACTTTAAGGGATCCATTCCGTGACAACTTCTTCTCTCTGTACAAACATAAACATCAATTCCCTGTCAAAAACTCTCAAACTACGCTTGCTTGTCCCTTAATGTGTAAGGCCTAACTTCAAACTCACATAGAACAGGTAAAATTGTAGTTTCGCATGTTTTAATATTTTACATTTTTAGATAACAGATGGGAATACCAAAGATTCTAAATGGAGTAATAGAAAGTATTGACCAAATTTAATCATATATTTTCTGATGAATGCAATTTTGATTTCTTAACATAATTCCCAAATATGAACAAAGCTTCACAAATACTTTATAATGAACAACACACTACATTTCAATATCCTACCTACAACTGTCTATTCTACGGAAAATCTTTGGCCCCCTAAAGAATAATGATGGATCGTATAGAATTAGACATAATGCAGAGTTAGAAGAATTGATCCATCATGAGCACATTGTGAGATATATTAAATCACAATGGTTAAGATGGGTGGGGCATGTGGTCAGAATGGGAGGATAGACTGCCACATTTGGTATTAAACCAGAAATTGTGGGGAACAAGACCTAAAGGAAGACCAAGGGGAAGATGGATTGATGCGATAGAGGACGATATGAGAAAGATGAAAGTGTGCAACTGGAGGGTAGCTCAAGATAGGAAGAGATGGGGACATATTGTTTGGGATGCCAGAGCCCACCAAGGGCTGTAGTGCAAGAGGAGAAGAAGACCTACAACTGTATATGGACTGTAGTAGCAAAAATCAGAAGGAAATGTCATTTATGTGACTATATGTTGTTTAAAGACTATGCACCTGCCTCAAAGAGGAGGACCTGGTTTAATCCCAGGGTAATCCACATGGTATTTACGGCAAAGTGACAAGACTTAGATACTAGCAGGAACAGACAGATCTGTACACCAGAATAATGATATACAGTGAAACCTCGATGTATCGTTTTTGGAGGGGGTGGGAAATAAAAACGATGAATACGGGAAAACGATAGTTGCGGGAAAGCATTAAAATTTTTAAAAAAAACTTAATGTTTCTCTTTCAAAGTTACTTCTTTTTACCAAAAAAGTCTTTAATGGACAATTGGTTTGTCAAAACTTTACGTTTTAGGCCAAACAGAGCCCTTTCCACGTTCAAAATGTTTCCCTCGTCACGTTCACTAATATTATGCGCATAAAAAAACGACTTCACTTTTGCCAATGCAGCATGTGCTTCGGCAAAACTCGGCACAGCTTCGGGCTCGCATTCGTCGTCTTCCTCTTCCTCACCACTCCCACCCCCTTTGCGAACAATAACAGGAAGAATGGAAATACTATTACTGCCGAACTCAACGAAATGTAGCTGTAGAAGACACGAGATGAACCAGAAGAACGAAAAGTGTCCCCGCCTTTCCTTTGTACTTGTAATAAAAGCATTTGTGAAGAAATTCACACTGCACATGCCATCTGGCATCACTGGAATTAAATATGAGTGCACCCTAATTAAACTCATAAAATTTCTGACAATGAGCACCGCCATTCGCTCCAACTATCACCCCTGCACCGCTGACCCCTCATTCCAAAAGAATCTGTGCTGGTTGGGCGACATAACAGGTTACTGCTACTGCATATTCCAAAAACATTGTGCGTCTTTCGGTATTAATGTATCTCAAAACCCAGCATTTTAAATTCTAGAAACATCGCGTAAATTTCGTTATAATTTCTCAGAAACGATCATTGCGGGAAAATTGTGGGCCAGGACTAAGATATTTGAACGATCGATGCGATAAAACGATACTTTGAGGAACGATAGAAGCGGGAAAATGTAACATTATTTTATATGGGATGTATCCGGGACCAAACAAAACGGACGATGCATCTGGGAAAACGATAGTTCGGGGAATGATGGATAGAGGTTTCACTGTAATATGCCTGCCTATCCTTACCGAAGAAAATTGGAAAGGGATTGAAAAAGATTTCAATTGTGACATCCACACATACATAATGAATATGAAGGTAAATCTATGTAAAGAAGATGTATATAAGATGAATTAATACATTATTCAACTCTAGCTGTATTTGCAAAATTTTCTAATAATTTTCAGCAGTTTTCTGCATAAAATATCTCCCATATTAATTAATCTACAGAACATACCTGAGCATCAGATTCATGAGCTGCAAACCTTCTCCACGTAAGAAACATTCTCTGTTGGGAGCATACATCAGACTTCCGCACAAGCAGTTGAACAAGTTTTCCATCATTTCATGCTCTTCACTGGAAGTTGGATCGTGCCGCTTGTAAAACTGCAACACAGGACACAAATACCCACTAAATCTCATCATATTGACTTATTTTTCAATACAAAGTTTCAAAACCACCATACCTCAAGATCAAGATAAGCAAATCATAAAATGTACACTGTTTAGGTTTCCTGACCAATTTTTGTAAATAATACTTAACATTAAATGGCCATCATACAATTGAAATCCAACATACAATCCTGGGCCAAATACGCTTTATTCAGTATAAATAGTAAAACATAAAATATCTGAAAACAATTTTACTCATATCTTAAAAATTAATCCTTCTTCATATTATTACAAATCATCAATTTGCACGCACACACAGTGGAATGATGCAAGTCAAAATCACTTGTGAGCCACTATTTAAATCTTCTGTACAAAGTAAGCATTATATTTATTTCTTAAAAAAATATGTTATCTCCCACACTGATTTGCACCTTCTTCAATGTCATAACCAACTTTTACTATGATATTCAGAGCTGATACTAATAAATCATCAAGTTTCACCAAGGAAACATGTCACCACGTGTTTGTCAATGGCCTACAATATGTTGAGCTTCTAAGCAAATGGGTTTTCTTTCCTTGTGTTTTATTACCAAGCCTTATCAAACATACAGATTTAAATAAATAAATTACAGACTCAAACATATCAAATAATTACAACAGCTACCTTGAAAGCAACCACAAATTGAAGCTTGCAAGATGGCAACTAACTTGTCATAATATCCAACTGTTGCAAACAAAAGTAGACCAGTCACGCATGCATACACAAAAAGTATAAGCCAAGAAATGGTGAACATTATAAAGGCTTAGATTTCTTTCACAGATATGTTTCAGAAAAGATGCGTCACTATCAGATAAACAATGTAAAGTGTTAATGATACTTGCTACTGACTGTGATCCGAAATACATACAGCCAACTGTTGTAGAATTACGTCAATACCATCCAAGTCACCGAGCATTTGTCGGTTATCAGGTGTATCCTGGAGCAGAATGGACAGGATCTCGCTTGCATAAAGCTTGTTTGCATCAAACGGTAGTTTCACCCGCAAGCGTCGAAGCAGCCATTGTAGAAGACCTTGTTTAGCTGCATCTCCACATAGATCAGGCCGAAACTCTGCTAGGTTCTCAAAGATTGCTATCATGTCAACAAAATCAATTCTTTATTAAAGCATCACAAAACTGAAGGATTCCTTTTTCACAAACATTTCAGTCATGTTATTAACATATTTATAAGCTGGGTCCTCTAGTAAATTATGTACCATACACATTTATTTCTTATATGATTAACACAATGAACCTTTAGGACGAATATTTCTGTCTTCTGGGTTGTTGCGCTGTGTAGTCTGGTCGATGTTTACCAACGTTTCAGAGGTCATACTGCCTCCGTCATCAGGGCATTTATATTCATCACCCTGATGACAGAGGCAGTATGACCTATGAAACGTTGGTTAGCATTGACCACACTACACGGCGCAACTACCCAGAAGACAGAAATCTTCATACTCACCGCTGTGAAAACCTCAAATCTTACAACCTTTAGGACTTTTGCTAACCATATGCCAGTCTTTTAAACTGTAGATACAAAAACACACCTGTAGTTTAAAAGTGTTTCTAAAAGGTGAATCTGACATTTGTGATGATGACATTTAGCCCACTTTCCTCTCTTAAGGATGAAAGCTGGTTTATGAAATACCAGTATCATACCGTGTATGCATGCATTCTTCCTTTTAAAATTTTAAACCAATCAACAATTTTTACATATCAATTAAGCTCACCCTAACAAAGCATTTTTTAAGTTCCTACAACCAGTAATAGTAATATGGTGGATGCAGAGTAACTATTTCTATTGCATATTCGAGAAAGAAACTAATAGAATTAACAATTCCTACACGGTCCTATTAAATTACCAACGTTACTCAACACTCACAATCTCAGTTCTGTTAATCAGTTAATTTTATGCCTTGCATGAAGCGCTTAGCGAGAATGCATTATGGGCTGGTCGCATTCAACTTGAGATCCAGTAGATGGATGAAATCTGATGTAAACGTTGTGCTATTCTGTATGACCTCAAAATCATACTTTTGAATATCCTACAAACGGTGATAACAAAATAACAGATGTGTATTCTGGTATGGAATACACCTTCTGAGCTTGTTCTTTGTGCAATAAAACTTTTAATATAAACTAGATTGTCTGTGAGTCTGTCATGTCATAAAACCATTAATGGCAATAATGGTACTTATTTAGGGGCAAAACTTTAGATATTTATTTCAATAATGAGGTTTTCCTTCCTCCCCAGTTCTTAAAAATATGGCTAGCACCTGAAATTAGAGATATGTAGACTTCTCCCAGATATGTTATGATCCTTCTTCAGTTTATGTTACATAACTTGTTGTGTTCTAAGTGGGCTAATAAAAAATATACACACTTTAGCACAAGGTTCTGTATACCTTCATGCAAACTATCATACGTACCTAATGTGTTATGTACGCCTTCAGATTCTTCTTTGACAGACTCATCCAGCCTCTCCAAGTTCTGAACAAGCAATGCACAGATCTGCTGGTTGAGCAATGCATCTATCAAGCTATCAGCTCCCTCTTCACTCTCGTGCAGAATATCTACATCTGTCAGCTCCTGCCATGGAAATTATTTCACATAGTTAATAGATAACTGGACAAGTTGTTTTGTTTTCTGACTGCAAGTTGAGTAAACAAATACTACTTGCAGAAAACCTGAAGACTTTTGAATCATTAAACAAAGGCTATGAAAGCATTATTGTTCCTGTACCGATCAGTTATCAGGTACAGTATATCATTGTCTTATTTACAAAAATTATTTCATTGTCTATGTTACATAAAATTACAACTTTGTATAAAATATTTCTGATATAATGAATATTTAATAAAACAGGCCCAAAGTGTTTCAAGTTTTAAAGTGGTAGAGCAGATTTATTTGTGAATCTTATGATGAAAGTAGAGGAATGAAGATAGTTAAATATTCTTGGCTGATAATATGGCTATAAATAAAATGAGTTTTTAAGCAGTAAACAACAAAACTGAATACTCTTTTGCACAAGTGGCAGCTACTGTAACTATCATATCTCTGTAAAAAACTTCTAGTGGCCATGGTCTGCTTTAATGAACTATCCAGCATTTGTTTAAGAAACTGTGAAAAGCCATGAATAACCAAGTCAAGATGACAATTGGCCTCTCAGCTGAGAATTTATCACTTTAACACCCAAATACAAGAAGTGTTAACCAATGAACTGTCACATTCAGATTTTGACTTGAATAGATACATGTGTTACACAAATTAATTATACAAATACCTGAAGCAAGTCAACAACTGCCACAGCAACATCTGTATTCTCATGAGCAAGTAGTTCCAGGAGAGAAGGAACTGCCTGAAGCTCCACCATAATGGGATACAGGTCTGGTACAGTTGCCACAACATGCATCTCCTGTATCGTTTCATGTAACTCTAACTCAGATTCCATAAATCTGCAGGAAAATGCAAATCAAGGCCTAAAACTAGAATCTCATATAGCAAATCTTAAATTATATCTTTAGAAGAAACAAATCAATTAACTGATTCAAAGAAGAAGGAAGAGGATTCAGGCTGATGTCATAAAAGGGGAAACATACTTTTCTGGCATGTCAGGAAATTTAATTCTCATCTCCTGGTTTCTGAGTGCCCGTTTCTCAAACAGTAAGACCAGACGTTTCAATGTGGATTCATCCAGAACCTCTCCCTACAAGTAAGAAATAATTTTAAGCACAAATACTAGAACTTTATATTCAGTATACTGATGAGCATTTAAAGCATTCTAACTATCAAAAGACCAAATATTTGACTGGACAAGCAGATTTTGCATCATAACAATGACCATTTCCACAGCTCACTTTTGGTGAAGAAATTTTTGGCCAAGAAACAGATACCAGCATTAAAATCTTCACCATACTCACCTAAATTGGCCCCATATGATTTCTTCATACCTCCAAAATTAAAAATTTCTGTGAAATTAAATATACAAACCTCAAATTCCTCACTTTCAACCAATTTCAAAATCTTTTCTCTCTCTTCATCTGTTAGTGGTTTCTCTGCCCTTACAGCTTCTTCTGGTTCTTTCTGTTGTGCCTTTTGAGTTCTTTCAACTAGTCCTGCATCAGTGGCACGAGACTTAGCCAGCTTACGCATTTTACGCTGTCGTTCAAATTCATTTTCAAAATCTTCTTCTTCATTATCATCATCCTGGACTCTTTTGGGCGTATTAGGGGGCTGTAATTAAATACAATATGAATATAATTTTAATTGTACATGTAGAGTACATATGGTATGATTGGACAATTATAAATTCAGAAGCTATATTCCCACACAGCACATTACCCCTACTGTCACAAGAATATGATCTGTAATGTGGAAACAAAATAAAACTGTACACATTACAAAATAAAATTAAAAATCTGAATGTTATGTTGATTTGTTCTAATACTGTTTGGAAGGAACACAGAGAAACTAGCAGGGAGCCCTTTTAAACTCCTTGGTACCAAACCATACCCACAAACCACACATGGTTACTTGTGATAGGGGCCAGATTTTGAAACTTATGCATTACAAAGTCATGCTATTTTATTTGGAAACAAACTAACTGCATCCTATAAAACATAACTTCAACTGGTATATCAACATTACCATGTACAGTGACCAGTTACCAATGCCTCCGTTGCTTGCATGACATTTTGCTGTAATTCAACTGTGTAACAAAAAGAAGCTATAGCAGGCCTAGCAAAGTTAAAACAAATGTTTCCAACAAACTAAAAAAAGAATGAGTTCGGCTTCAACAGCATCCTTCTGCTCATACATGATAGTTATCATTTTATGTTAGGTCTGGCCATGTTGATATAGTTCTCATGAACCAGTTAACCAAATCCAAGGAATAATAAAAAGCAATGTCCGAAACAAATTCGATCAAAATTTAACGTACATGCACATGTAATTGACAGCTTTCCGTTTCAGGTAAAAAAAAGAGATTAGGTTAGGTGACGTTTGGTTTGGTTAATTGGTTCAAAGGGATTGCCTCACCCTATTTTCGATGTATTCATCCTTTGTTGAGTATAACAAAACCTATCAGATTTTTTTGACGTTTTCAAACGTGTCTCGTAACTTCAACCGAGCCCAAAATAACATCGGACAATAACTACTTAAGGTTTAAGGTATCAGTTATTAGGTTCAAAAGACAAAGACGGACAGCCTGCACACAAATTACGCCTTTTAAAAGACATCTTACTGCGTGTGATGCAGCTCATGCATTTCTAAACAATGTAAGATCACGTAAAGAATTAACCTTAACTTTTTCGAAATATTTATACAAACCTTATAAGATAGCAACTCGCCTATATCCATTTTGAAACAACTTCCAGTGCTGCATGGTACGCATACACAACGCAAAGATACTGTACCATTGCACAACGAAATAGATAAAATTCTTGCCCACTGGTGCACTAACACGGCCACAGATTAACATCAGACTTCAAACTACACAAGACACCTCACAGATATTGCCTTCTCTAACGAAAGTTTTCGGGTGGTTGGAGACGTAAGCTGCATACAACACCTTTTTCTCGGCTTCTCTGTGTCTCACTAGAAGTAACGTTTCGATATGGGCAAATACTTAACTGCTACAAAAAATCAAAACACCAAAAAAGTTATATACATACTATATGCATTCATTTACATGAAAGGCAGACAAAGGAGAGAATATGAAGACTGGTACTGTTTATATTTTATTTTCCAAATATAACAGGTTCACCAACAATTCAATAAATTTACAAAACTCTGTGTAACAAATTGCATGTCCAACATCAACAAATTATAGTTTTGGTAATGCTCTAATATAGGACTGGACAAACTTCAGACCTCTACAGCCAGAAAGGAATTTCTGAATGTAAATGTATCTCCAGTTTTCTTATATACTCAATGCTCTGAACCATACAAATATTTTTTTCCTTCCTCCTGAGAAGATGCCTCATTCCCACAATACTGTAACATGACCAACTAATTACTTGATCAAACACAATAAATCTATGAACACAATTAATGCTGGCAAATACACTGACATAATCTAGTTCTGAGCTTTCACTTGCCATTATCTTATCTTGAAACATAGTGTTGCAGGTATGGACATAGGAATGTGCCACATCCACATGTGTGTGTCTAATACACAGCATTCAATAAGCAAAATCAGACATTACTAATCCATTTTTACCAGTCCTGAATCATACCTATTTGAGGTTAAAACTGTCAATGCTATCAAAATTCTTCAGTGGGTAAAATTTTTATGGAATACCATGTTGCTAAACTGTTTCCCATTAAAAGAATCAACTTTATAAAAATTAAATCACACTCTAGTATAGAACACCTCTTTAACACTGACTGATTAATTAGTTTCTGCAGCATTCTAAGGCCCGTTACATAGTCAAGCGGACGCTCCGTCCTCCGCTCTCCGCATGCAGATAAGTTACCTTGTTCTTTAAGTGACTTTACACGATTCGACGGAGCGGCCCGTGCGCGGAGGAGCAGTCCGCATGGCCCTTCCGTCTCCGCGTCAGTTAATTCCACTGAACAACTTGTAACTTGCAGTCAAGCGGACAACGTGCGACGGATCATTTCATTTGTGAAGAGTGCATAAGACTACATTAACACCAGTCAGAACATTTATTTTTTGTTCCAAATAATCTTTCTGCCCAATCAGTAACAATGAATTGCTACATGTTGACAAAATTAAACCAAAGATTGCATACAATCAAATTTCTGTTTACCCTCAGTGTCAATATTTTAACAGCCGTCACTTCAATGTGGTAACCACAGCCATGATTTTCCCATTAAAAATCTACATATTTGTTTCCCTTATTATCTGAATCACCTTTTGCCATATCTGCTTTACCATATTCCATACCTTTGTTATTTTGTATATGGTACTTAACAGTTGAAAATCATTACCACAAACTATGTACTTCCAGATAAGACCTGTTAAAGGTTACAAAACACTGGTAGCACTAAAACACTGTAAAATCTCATAACTTTCAATGAAATACTGCTCTGTAAGCAGCAGTTAAGAACTGGTTGGAGGAATGATCAGGAGAGCATATCCTAATGCACTGTGACTGATAAACAAATCAAATGACCCATTTGTTGATAATAGAAAGTCTACTGTACTATTAAAAGTGCCAGCTGCTTGTAGGCCACAAATGGTTCAGAGTTGCACTTATTTGGTCATGCAAAAGCAATTTGCATGAAAAAATTAATTACTTCATGCAGTCAGACTATAAATAAAGAAATTATCACACAAACCATTTTGTTAACAGGATGCTACAAATCAAAGGTTAGGGGGAAGTTAGTAACAACTTTCTGCACCCTTTCACCACAGATATGAGTTCAAAATTAAAGAGATCTGTGAATGTAAAAGATATCGATGTATTCTGCAAAGCAGTTACTTAATATTTCAACAAATGATGAACACAAAATAATGTTGCATTCTGAAAAACAGTAAATCATTAACACATATAATTTTAAAATTACTATCTTATTTTGGTGCATTATGTAAAAATTAAAATATGGAATACAAATCTGAAACCTAACTTGGGGTATGTAAAATATATGAATACAACTGACAAAAATAACACACAAAGTACCTTGTCACAGATCTAAAAACAAGAATTCACAAAAATGCCAACATATGAAAAATATTGTCAGAGTATATGAATTTCTCATGTGCAACAAGGCACTATAATGGTAAAGACTTCAAATAACATGCATATTAACCCTTTAAAGCCCAGTATCATCTGTTTTAAAAGTTAGGAGATTTGTATTTTGTATTAAGTGTTTCACATCATTCTCAGAAAAAAACAGCAATTATTTCTTTGCATAACCAAGTTATCTTTATATCAGTGAAGTGTTGTATTTTCTTTGCAGTACAGACTGAATCCTTAAATATTATTTAGACAAGCTTCAGCTTTAAAGGGTTAAAGTGAATTATCTGACATTATCCTTCCAATGGTGTTTGTTGTGATACATGCCACTTCCTTTCTCAACACACAACATGCACAAAACTCTTCCACTCATGATTACTGGTTATTTATCATTTACACTGATTTTAGCTGTTTAACAAAGGTTTTTATTGCAGTTGAATGGCTGAAACATTCAAATAATCTTTAAAACTTATACTTCTACTTAAACAATGCATTATAAGCAGTTACATATAAATATAGTGTATTTATGTGACACTACTGTGTCAAACACTACTTTTCAGCTTTAAGACAAGCATGACAGTGGAAACTGAACTGTAAAAGATTAAACTTCTGCATACCATTTCATTATTACAAAACATTATGCATTAATAATTAAAACCTGTAACTGCTTCTTAGAAGAACTGTGATAAATAATGATCTGAATACCTAACAATATTGAGTTTAATTGATAAATTTTCATAAGATTAAGATAGCATAATTCTTTCAAACACAGATTCATACATTCAGCAGAATAAATACTGTATCACTTATTCTGCACTACAATGTAATGTAAAAACACGATGCATCACTGCAAAAGGTCCATCCAGATATTTCAATTGTATTGTCAGATATGATATGACAAACAGTGCTTACCCATATTTCTTGGAAGTTCACAATTTGGTTTTGGTACACAGCATTCCAGGTGAGGGAGACCAAATGTCCAGAACCTTATAATGATCCCAAATGTAAAATAACATTATCATAAAGCTTACAAATGCCCACTATAGCAAACTATCAGCCAGTCCAATCCAGGTGGGGGAGATTAAATAAATTTGTATGTACACACCAAAAATAAAGAAAAAAAGATAATAAAATGAATGTAACATTCATATACCAGTTTTCTAAATATATATTTTAATATTACATCTACTCTCCCATCAGCTTCTCAAGAACTGTGGTCTACAAAGATGGCTGTTGGTTCAGGTAAGGCAGACATGCTGATTTCTGATAATGGAACTGAGTTGGGTATCATTATGAACACAGCAATCAAAATGTCTTGAACAAACCACTGTGATCATTACCATTTTCAACCTTGGTGCACATGTGAGCATGCTTGTATGTATGTAGGTAATCTTATACATAAAAGTCCTCTTTATTATAATATTGAAGTGCTTTGCTCCAATTGCAATATTATCATTTCATCACTTCAACCCTACCTTTCCTTGTCTTTCTTCACTTCATTTGGGTGCTCATACTTACACAAAACTGAGAACATGTCTCCCCCAAGCCTTGTAGCTAGCCATCGATTCTTGATTACAGCTACTTTGAGACACTCACAGGTAAATTTTGCTTCAAGATTTGTGTGAAGAGCACGGCCCATTCCTTCCAGAACAATTAGATCGACACCCTCAGATGACATTGCATTTGCCAAATCCAGATTCAAGCGACTGAAAGCACAAAAATTTATTCAGGAAGTACAATGAATTCCCCAGTTTACTTTTGGCTTGAGTAATCCTTATATGAGACATAAGAAAAGAGTAAAATCAATGATAATGAGGAAACCACCTGAAACATCAACAAAAAACTTAGAGGAAGGATGTCAACTTTTGTCAAGCCTTCAGTTCTCTCATTTTTAAAGATTTTCAGTCACACCATTTCCACAAATTTCTGCAGCCAGGACATGAGGTTTTCAATGGATAATTATTCAATGAACAAAGATTTATGTTTTTAGTTAATGTATTAAAAATGGTGAGAAATTATAAACCAAATTATTTTATTCTGTAAGGATGGACAGGACATATACTATACACAGGAGCGGTAAAATGTATAAAAAAAATTTGGTTGGAAAGCCTAACAGGCACAGACCACTTGGAATACCAATGCATAGATGGTAAAATTATATTAACTGTATCTTAGAGAAAATGGGTTGTAGGGTGAGGATGTGATTCATATGGCTCAGTACACAAACTGATGGTGGGCTGTAGTAGACATGCTAATAAACCTATTTCTTGACCAGCTGAGCATACTACTTAGCTTCTCAAGTAGAATTCTGTAATTTATCACTTTTTTGATACTCAGTATAACAATTTAAAATACCTGAGATCAAGACAAGGTCCTGCTTGTGCTGTTTCCATTGCCATCAATGTTCCTGCATTCAAAGCCTTGTGGATAACCTGACATATAGCAGCAGCTTGTTTTAACACCACGACTAGTTCAGGATGGGTGACGTCATTCAAGGCAGGTGCTGAGTTTGCACACAGCATCACCTAAGAAGCAGAGTACTTTCTATCTTATATTATTCATGACAAGATGATCACAATTACTGAAAAATTAAAATTAAGAGGTAAACATAATTATAAGAAATATTCAGGATCTTGTAAGATAGATACATAGTCAAATCTTAGTTCAACATTAATATTTTTCTCTAGAGAAGGTTGCTTTTAAACTGGCACAGATTTAATGTTTGGTGTTACATCATATAGCAAATTTCCATTTTCAGTTTTTCTGAGAATCAGGCCATTTGTGTACAAATTCTTTTTTAATTCAATTGGTACTTTATACATATGAGCATAAAAAGTTTGACAATATTATCATTATATCATGACAATAGTTTCTGGAAG